GGTCATACAGTTCTACGCACCAACCTCGGCTCATCCCGATTAGGAGTTGGAGGAAATGTATGAGGATATTTCTAGAGCCATGCATTCCTTCAAAACCCACTACACGGTGTTGATGGGAGAATTAAACGCAAAACTGGGCACAAGAGAAGGCGGTGAGTTTAGGGAATTTTGGAGTAGGGCAACGGAACCGTAGGGGCCAGCAGCTAGCTGACTTTATGGAGAAAGTTTTTGCCAGAGGTCTGTCTACCAGAAAGAGCCAACTGTCAAAGCTGAAGACTGAGTGTGGCAGCATCGTTTCCGACACACCTGAGATTTTGAGTGAGATTGAGAGGTTCTATCGGCAGCTGTACACATCATCGTTGGAGCCATACGCAAGTGTGAGTAACGATCCAAGAGCAAGTCTTACGCGACAATATTCCGATGATATCCCGGACGTCAGTCTGAGCGAGATTAGAATGGCTCTCAAGCACCGTAAAAATGGCAGGGCCCCACGCGAGGATGGAATTACAGCGGAGCTTCTGAAAGCGGGTGGAACACCGGTACTTGAAGTCCTTCAGAAGCTCTTCAATTCCGTCCTCCATGGTGGCACTACTGTGGAGGCGTGGAGCAGAAGTGCGGTGGTCTTGTTCTTTAAGAAAGGCGACAACGCTCTCTTGAAGAACTACAGATCGATTTCCCTTCTGAGCCGCGTCTTCGTGCTGTTTTCTAGAGTCATTACGAATCGTCTCGCACGCAGACTCGACGACTTCCAGCCTCCCGAACAAGCCGGTTTCCGAAAAGACTTCAGTACCATAGACCACATACATACCCTGCGTCAGATTGTACAGAAGACCGAGGAGTACAATCTGCCACTTTGCCTGGCGTATATGGACTATGAGAAAGCCTTTGATTCCGTCGAAATTTGGGCGGTGCTACAGTCCCTTCAGCGGTGCCAAGTTGACTGTCGGTATATCGAAGTGCTGAAGTGTTTGTATAGTAGGGCTACGATGGCTATCCGAGTACAGAACCAGAGTTCGAAGCGTATCCAACTGCAGAGAGGTGTAAGACAGGGTGACGTTATATCCCCGAAACTCTTCAACGCTGCGTTGGAAGACGTGTTCAAGCTATTGGACTGGAAAGGATACGGTATTAACATCAATGGCGAGTACATCACTCACCTTCGACTTGCCGACGATATAGTCCTTATGGCAGAATCGCTGGAGGACCTTAGCACTATTCTCAATGACCTCAATGGTGTCTCCCGACGGATAGGTCTTAAGATGAACATAGACAAAACAAAGATCATGTTTAATGTCCATGTCACACCTATGCCGGTAGTTGTTGGGAGCACTATGCTCGAAGTTGTTGACGAGTACGTTTACCTGGGACAAATAGTCCGACTAGGTAAGTCCAACTTCGATCGAGAGGTCAATCGACGGATTCAACTCGGCTGGGCAAAGTTCGAGAAATTACGACACATCTTCTCGTCAGGTATACCTCAATCTCTGAAAAATATAGTGTATAGTGTATAACCAGTGCGTGTTGCCAGTGATGACTTACGAATCTGAGACGTAGTCCTTCACTGCTGGCCGTATGAGGACGCTCAAGGTCGCTCAGCGAGCTATGGAGAGGGCTATGCTCGGAGTTTCTCTGCGTGATAGACTCAGAAATGAGGATATCCGCAGTAGAACCAGAGTGATCGACATAGCCGAACGGATTAGTAAGCTGAAGTGGCAATGGGCCGGCCATATAGCTCGAAGAACCGATAACCGATGGGGAAGAAAAGTTCTCGAGTGGCAGCCTCGTACCGGTAGGCGTAGTATAGCAGTAAGCATTTAGACCGTTGAAAAAAAAATGATTCTTCCTTAGAGTCAAAATATGCGTCTACAGCTGCTTTGACCTCGTCGTTTGTCGAAAATCTTTGACCTCCCAAGTGCTTTTTTAGGTTAGGGAACAGAAAGAATTCTGATGGTGCCAGATCAGGTGAATACGGCGGATGCGGTAACAGTTCAAAGCCACAGTTGTGAATTTCAGCCATTTACAGTACTGACGTGTGAACACGGGCGTTATCTTGATGAAACAGGACTTTTCTTCTAAAATTCCTCGACGTTTTTCTTTTATTTCCTCTCGTAAACGACGTAGTAAGGTGCAGTAGTAATCAGAGTTTATAGTCTGACCCCTTTCAAGATAATCAATCATAATCACACCTTTCGAGTCCCAGAATACTGAAGCCATCACCTTATTTGCCGACAAAATCGACTTAGCCTTTTTAGGGGGTGGTGAACCAGGTCTTCTCCACTGTTTTGATTGTTGTTTTGTTTCCGGTGTACAGTAATGAACCCATGTTTCGTCCATAGTAACAAAACGATTCAAAAAATTATCTGCATCGGCTTCAAATAACTCCAAACAGTCGCGTGAAATAGTCAATCGCGTCCTTTTTTTCAACTGAAAGCAGTCGCGGAACCCACCTCGCAGACACCTTGTGGAAACCCAACTCGTTGACAATGATGTTTTGAGTTCGTTCTTAAGAGATGCCTATAATCTCGGCTATCTCTCTAATTTTTAATCTGCGGTCTCCCATTATTAAATCAAGTACTTTTTTTAATATTTTCGTTAGTAGTTAACGTCGAAGGCCTTCCAGAGCGGGGTTCATCTTTCACACTCTCTCTACCACGCTTAAATTCTGCTATCCATTTTTTGACGGATGAATATGACAGAGCACAATCGCTTAATGTACTGACCATGTCATCATGGATGGCCTTTGATGATAGCCCCTTCTTATGGAGGTACTTAATGACGGCACGCTGCTCGATTTGCTCCATCGGAAATTATGTCCGATTACTTTGTTAATAAATTTATAAAATCACAACTAATTATCGCACACGTTTCGAACTTCACACAATGAACTAGTCTGAACTAAACTAAATAATGTGGGTAGACTTGATTTTTAGAATTGAATGGATCTGTGTTAGGCCGAGTACTTTTCAATCCACCCTCGTATAATTTATTATTATTGCATAACTGATACAATTACTGACATTGCTTCTTTTTACTCCTGCAGTTTGTAATAACCGCTACTAAAGCTCAAAATAATTTATTCCTAATACACAGAAAAATAGTTAGGTATTTATGATACTATGTGGAAAGATGGTTTTTACAAACAAGTAACCGAATGTAGTCCCAATTTACGCACGTTTGTCATAAAATGTTTTTCCACACATTTGCAAGAAAACAGTACCTACTACTATAGGTAATGAAACGAAGTTTTTTTTTATAAATATTAGTTGGAAAATCTGTTTTTCGAGGATGTTTTATTTTGTTAGACTGACATCTCATAGACCAACATGAGAGGTTGTCGACTTCTTTTTTTGTTTAAAATTTTCGACGGTAATTAGACCAGGGTCAAAGCCGTCAAAAATAATTAAAAACGAAAAAAAAATTAAAGTAGGATGAAACCTACGGGAAAAGGAAGGGAATACCACTAAAATTATGGGAAAAATAAATTACATGCGATCTGAGGTTGGGAGGGGGTGGGGGGGTTAAGGGTAAAAATCGGTAAATCTCGATTTCCGGCAAAACTACAAGTCCTATCGAAAAAAGTTCAATGGCAAAGTTGTAGATAATAAAAAGATCTACAACTTTTGTATCTATAGTTTTTCTCCATAACCTCTAAATTCATGTGAAAAATCCAAAAAACCACATTTTTGATTTTTTTTTATCTTTTTACAAAAAAAACTTTTTTCATGATATTTGGTGAAAACTTACCTCTTTATGTCCCAAACACACTGGAATTTTGAAGATTTAAGGTATTAATTTTTTTCACCCTATTTTGAATCGATATCGAAAAAGCACCCTATTTTCAATCGAAAATTCTCATGTCAAAATATCTGATTGTTCAAAAAGTCGGTGGGCTTTTTGTTCGTTGATATCTCTATTTTCTGATGATGTAAAAAATATACATTATTATTGAAAAAAAAATCAGAAAATGCAAAGAAAAAACGAAAAATACTAAAATTCTATTTTTTTTTAACTTTATGTACACTTTTGAGGTATTCATTAAAAATTTTACTTTAATTACTCGAAAAACGTTAGGTTCCATGTTATATTAATAAACAAAAAATTGCAAGTCGAAATGTACTACTATAATTAACAACTAAATAAGTTAATAAAGTTAATATTTAATAAAATTTTGAAAAAGTCGAACTTTCTTTAAATTATATACGTAGATGCCTATTTATTGCTATTTTAAAAAGATGCTGATGCTGAGATTATTAACACCTCGATAGAAATTGCAAAAGCTATAACTAAAACTGTCATTGTTGTACGACAAGATATTGATCTTTTGGTCCTTTTGAATCAATTAAATTCTAATAATTATAAAATTTATATTCTCAAGCCCGGTTCTGGAAATATAAAAGATCTTTTTTTCAGGTCTAATAGTTTCAAATGTGAATCCGTAAAAAACATCGTTGCATTTCTGCACTGTTTTTCTGGTTGCGACATAACATCCGGATTTGCCGGAAAAGGAAAGAAAACTATCGTAAATTCATTATTAGACAATCAAAATTTGTTGAATTTGGCTAATATTTTTTTTTAAAAGATGTAAACAAAGAAGATATAAAAAAGGGATTGAAATTAATTAAATCTATTTATAAATGTAAAAAGGATAATATAATAATAAATCAATTAAGATTTCAAAAATATCAATTGGCAAAAATTAAATCATCTTTCATATTGGCAAATCTCCCACCCACAGAAGGTGCAGCAGAACAACATTGTTACAGGGCATATTATCAGCTTCAAACGTGGCTGGGTAATGAATTGACAGCAACAGATTGGGGCTGGAAGCAACATAAACATGGAATTATGCCCAAATTTACAGAAATGGAATTAGTTCCGGAAAAATTGCTGAAAACTATTTGCTGCAGCTGTGAAACTGGATGTAATAGTTTAAAATGTGGCTGCCGAAAATATAATTCAAAATGTACAAATTTATGCTCAAATTGTCATGGTTCTGAACAATGCGCCAATGTGGAGAAAAAATCTACGAGGAAGTTAATGATTCAGATGAAATTGCGGATGAAGAACCAATGCAGACCGAAAATAATGTTGGAGACGAAGACGATGATGGTCTTGAAGATGTCGAAGATCTACTAGAAACAGAAAGGCCTGTCGAATCTAACAATCAAGAAATACAATCAAAAAGACAGAAACTGATGAATAAGTGATTCGAATTGAATACTATGTTTTGATAAATACAAAGATTAATGATTTTAAAAATAATATAATGTGTAATGTAACCATTAAAAATATCTCTACTCAATAGTACGATTTACGTGTATATTTCTATCTAATGAGATTTTTTCTCATTTGTCACATTTTTTTAGTAAAATCCCCTTTAAATCGTATTTTAATATTTACAACAACTATGTTTTTTTGCGATATTTATGTTAAATTGTTTTTTTGTTTATTAATCTAACATGGAACCTAACGTTTTTCGAGTAATTAAAGTAAAAATTTTAATGAATACTTCAGCATTGTACATCAATCTATCATCATCAAAATACAAAAAATCTAATTTTAGTATTTTTCGTTTTTTTTTTTTTTTCGTTTTCTGAAATTTTTTTCAATAGTAATGTATATTTTTTACACCATCAGAAAATAGAGATATCAACGAACAAAAAGCCCATCGACTTTTTGAAAAATAAGATATTTTGACGTGAGAATTTTCGATTGAAAATTAGGATGCTTTTTCGATATCGAGTCAAAATAGGGTGAAAAAATTAATATTTTGAATCTTCAAAATCCCAGTGTGTTTGGGACATAAAGAGGTAAGTTTTCACCAAATATCATGAAAAAAACAATTTTTTTTTAAAGATAAAAATAAAAAATCAAAAATGTGGTTTTTTGGATTTTTCACATGAACTTTGAGGTTATGGAGAAAAACTATAGATACAAAAAGTTGTAGATCTTTTTATTATCTACAACTTTGCCATTGAACTTTTTTCGATAGGACTTGTAGTTTTGCCGGAAATCGAGATTTACCGATTTTTACCCTTAAAACTCCCCCCCCCCTATCATTTTAGTGATATTCCCTTCCTTTTCCAATAGGTTTCATCCTACTTTAATTTTTTTTTCGTTTCTAAAATTATCGACCCTGGTCTAAATACAAAATAATTATAATCGAATGTTAATCAAATTGACATTGGTAGGTTCAGATAAAATTAGCGGAACTTTAATAAAATTTAGAGATCGGAATTCTTCGATGAACCAACACAACGTCACTGGCACAGCTTCCACTCCACAGGACAATCCACTCAAAGCTAACTATTCCAATTTGCTACAAAAATATGGAGACCAAATTTTAGTGCGAAATCAAACATAGTAGTATAGAAATCCAAAGTTCAAGCCAGGGGTCTATCCCCCCCGAACGGGTTCCCGCCTTGTCGTGGTGGGGGAGGCTTAGTAGCCGTGGCTTGGTCTCCCACGGTGAACAAAGAGGAACCCACGTGGCTGGCCCGAGGTGAAGGGCCGGCCTGAGGTGGCCCCCTCCGAGTGGGCTTGGGGAGCCCACTTCGGATGTGTGCTGGTGGACTGCAGCGAGTGGGGACTCCGCACCCTCTACCGCTGCAGCCGAGGTGGAGTCGCGGAGGAAGAGGACTGTTGGTATGGCGATGCACCACTCGCCCTCTCCTCCGCGACTCAAACGGGGCCGCACCGTTGATGCGGTGGTGATGGGGCTGCGGGGGGAGAGGATTGTCGGTATTGCGAGGCGCCGCTCTCCCTATCCTCCGCAGCCGAATCTTGGTTGGCGGCGGAGCCATAGACCAGATCCGTCGCTGGGGTCGGGAAGGCTAGTACTTCTAAGTGCTCGTTTTTCCTGGCCCCATGGCCTTCGTGCATCGGACGCGGGGGCGTCTGTTGCGCACATGCAATTGGAGGCCGTGGAGGAAGGCGTGCCATGTGTTCTGGTGCGCCTTACTTGGGAAGGAGAACGGGGAGGAATATTCCTCTCACGAGGAGGTGCTGCCATGGGGCGGCAGTCGCTGGTAGGGCCGCGGAAGTGTGCGAAAGCGTAGCGTCCCGTAGCCCTGCCAATATGCGACGAAGGTGGAACACCATGGGGTTTTAGTCGGTGCGAGTCCGACATAACCCGTCCTTGCCCCCGCGAGGCGGGTATGCGTAGGCATTTCCCCATGTTAAAAAAAAGCCAGGGGTCTATGTAGTGTAGTAATTTAGAACGCAGATATAGACAGTGAACATACACATCACACGAACGACATAGGCCGCAGCAGTCTGAGTCGAATAAAATAAAATAAAATAAAAAACCGCACCGGGAGAAACATTATTCAGTGAGATGCGCGATAATTCATAGTAAAACGGGAGCTTTAAAATACAAAAAGGTTTTTGTAAAAATGAAAAAAACCACTGCATAAATCAATTACAAATAAAATTTATTAAATTACTCGATAACTAAACTTTGTCTGTACTAACTTTGTTTTATAAATTTTTACACTTGTTTTATTACTAATTTACGCCTAAAATTGTGTTAAAATTGCCAATAAAAACGAATCTTTGATAGCTCATAACTTTTTAAGTGCTTTTTATTTTACTACTCTGTTTCCGGACACACAAAATTAATAATGAGACAAAACGATATCATGTTTAACTTTGGATGTAACTTGTCAAACAGCGGACTAATACATTCCCAAATTCCCCTCCCACTCCCTTCTATGGAAAAAATGTCGACAAGTGTCACCTTAATGATAAGTGTATTGAACTAGAGAGCTTTTTTAAGGCATTTCATCTTAGTCCGCTGATATAACGACGCATCTTCATTTTGATTGTTAATCGAAAATCAATGTAGATGTCTATAGGCCACAACACCCACTTAATATCAGGTGGACTATGTGCTCGTTTGTCAACCTTATTCTATAAAAAATTATTTTCGAGGCTTTCCATTGAATTCTCATACATAAACATAAACTCTCACCACAAATGTGGGCATACTCGTAGACACGATCCTGACGCACCTCTCCTCTCGTCTTTCACGTCTACGTACCTACGCATACAATATAGTTAAGAGTACTTTTAAGAATTTTGTTTATAATTGGTTTTAGTTATTGTTATTATATAACCTAATTTTATAAATAAAAAATAAAAAGTCCTATCTTCATTAAATCTCCACTCTACATTTGCCATACAAAACACAGCAGCATTAAGCTGGTATTTTCGCTAGCATTCTGTGAGAGAGTGGTCGAGTCGAGCCTTATTATGACTGTAGTATATTCGTGCAACAGCTTTGAGACAGCCATAATAAAGATGTAGCTTGGTTCTACCTCGTACTAACGTCCAATATCACATTTTATATTACATTTAAGATAATGTGAAAAGAATAAATAAATATTTTTTAGAACACACAATCCCTAATTGTTGAGTAATATTGTGAACTTCAACTTCAATTGAATTAACCTTTATTGTTGGAAACCTATTGTTCGGTCACCAGACCTTCTTAGTTATAATGAAATACCGTGCGTAAGGCCTTTATAGTAATCCCTTTGTATCTGGGAAGTTGAGAATTCGTTTAACATAGATTTCTTAAACATGAAAGTATTTTATTGAGTTTGCTAATGTGGCCGTGGAAGGAAAAGGGATAAGATCTCCCGCCGGGCAAGGTGTTCTGCCCGGGGAGCGGCCAACACTCCGTGTGATAGTTCGAAGATGTTCTATATATACTGTTTATGATTCGGAATGTTGATAGCGTGATTTAGGCTTCGGTGTATTTCGCTTGTGGCGCGACGACAGCGCCGCTACATCACCCCCCTGCTCAGACCGGAGGTCGATAGTGCAGTCTCGTTGTCGACGAATGTGCAAGTGCCAGGAGATTGCCTTGTAGTCTGCGGTGAGTCGAGAAGAAGGCAAGTAATCTGCGAGAGTGCCGTGAAGCAGAGGCGAGCATTAAGGCTCAGAGCCGTGCCGAACACTGTATGGCGCAGAGAGTAGCTTGAAGGAACAGGAAGCATTATTATTCCAGTGCTGCGATGAACCTTGTGAAGCTAGATGGCTTGCAGGATATGAAAGACTGCAGACGATATCTGCTCGGGAGCGAATGGGTGGGGTATTCTATGACGATGATGAAGCTTGAAGTTTCCGAAGGTTGTTTGGTTGCGTGTTCAGATCACGTCGGTTAGTCACCACTGTGATCGTGGAAGGAAAAGGGAAGATCTCCCGCCGGGCAAGGTGTTCTGCCCGGGGAGCGGCCAACACTCCGTGTGATAGTTCGAAGATGTTCTATATATACTGTTTATGATTCGGAATGTTGATAGCGTGATTTAGGCTTCGGTGTATTTCGCTTGTGGCGCGACGACAGCGCCGCTACACTAAACTGTCCTCGGAGGGCTACCTATTTTGTTTTGAAGAATTAAAGTTTTATTTTAAATAAAATTGCGAACGAGCTAACAATTCACCTGTCGGCACGTGGCTACTGCAGTGCTTGGACACCTGCAGTCAAAAGATGGCCGTTATGCATTGTCAACTCTAAGGAATCAGACGAAAGTCCTTACAACCTGTAATTAAACCCGCTCTCCATACCCTTCAGACGACAACACAGCGGTGCACGAACAGATATTTGCGACGAAAGTAGTTAAGAGGATGTTTCCAATCTAGACGGACTCCTAGGCAGTAAAGGAAATTTACCATCTAGTGAAAAACGACCGTACAATCAACTTGATAGTAAGTGATTGTTGTAACATAGACATCTTCATTTATCTCGCATAAAGAATTAAAATGCAGATGAGTTTTTACTACTAAGGACCAAGATGTAATGCCCCGTTCAAAAGGGACCCCAACTTATAAAAAGGTGTTCGATTCTCGTGTCTTATATACGAGACTCAGCAACATTAAGCTGTATTCTGTTAGAGCGTGGTTCTTCTCCGGTAGAGCCGACCCATTCGTACTACAAACACAATATACCTGTAACGTGAATCAACCACAAAAAAATTATACACGATCTGTCCCTTGTCCCGTGGTAGGCGTAAGAGGAGACAGAGTAAAACTGAAGCAGAAGGTGCTGTTGCTCACCTTAGTTTTTCCCCAATAATCGAAAGGGTTACTACACACTACAACCGACTTTAAAAAGCTTGTAAGTGGAAAAGATACAAGGATCAATGGAGAATTTTAGTTTCTTTATATAAAGAACGTAGTACGTAGGTGGTGAAAAATGATACTA